AGACTGGGCCGAATGGGCCCTAACAGCTGCTTGTGTGATATCCTTTATTTTTATCTTTTATTTTATGTTGATGGGCCTCACTTAATGGGCCTGTTATTTGTTCTTGTTTTATTTTCTTTATGTAATTGCCAAGCTGGCTGCCCACTTAAGGGCATACTTGTCATCATTAATATTTAGATATTAATAAAATAGGGTTAGAGGAGAAGGGTGAATAATTCGACTTCTTCTCTTACCTATTCTCTTCGACATACACATCTCTTGCACTATTATTCAGATCTGTTTTGCACTGTTAATTACTGACTTTAAATCTGATATTAGAAGACTGATTCACATCTTGGTGTGTTAGAATACAGGGCAATGGCTCATGGTGTGTCAGAACTACTATGACTACGATCCCTTCTAGAGGAATTGGGGGTGGACTACGAGAAACCAATGATGCTCTATTGTGACAACCAAGCTGCTATCAACATTGCACATAATCCTATTCAATATGACAGAACTAAGCACATTGAGGTTGATAAGCATTTCATAAGGGAAAGAGTCTCTTCAGGAGAAGTTTGTTTGCCATTTATCACATCAGAAGAGCAACTGGATGATATCTTGACCAAGGGAATTCCCAAAGGGAAATTGACACACTATATAAGCAAGCTGGGCATGATTGACATCTATGCTTAGCTTGAGGGGGAGTGTAAAGAGACTGGGCTGAATGGGCCCTAACAACTGCTTGTGTGATATTCTTTATTTTTATCTTTTATTTTATGTTGATGGGCCTCACTTAATGGACCTGTTATTTGTTCTTGTTTTATTTTCTTTATGTAATTGCCAAGCTGGCCGCCCACTTAAGGGCATACTTATCATCATTAATWTTTAGAGATTAATAAAATAGGGTTAGAGGAGAAGGGTGAATAATTCGACTTCTTCTTCTCTTACCTCTTCTCTTCGACATACACATCTCTTGCACTATTATTCAGATCTGATTTGCACTGTTAATTACTGATTTTAAATCTGATATTAGAAGACTGATTCACATCTACCTCAAATAAATTGGCTCAAGAAGATGGGAATTTGGATGTTATTTACGTGCTGGTTACAAAAGAAGTTAGCAAAGAAACACCTGTTCTAGAGTTGGTGAAGAAGCTAGTTCATGAGTATGCTGATGTGATGCTTGATGAACTACCCGATGGCCTTCCTCCCCTAAGAGATGTACAACATCATATAGATTTAATGCTGGGAGCAGCAATGCCTAACCTACCCCACTATAGAATGAGCCCTAAGGAGCATGAGGAGCTCCAAAGACAAGTAACGGAGTTGTTGAAGAAGGGGCTGATCCATGAGAGCTTAAGCCCATGTGCTGTACCAGCTTCGCTCACACCAAAGAAAGATGGTAGTTGGCGTATGTGTGTTGATAGTTGTGCCATTAACAAGATTACAGTTAAATACAGGTTTCCCATACCCCACCTTGATGACATGTTAGACACATTGGCTGGTTCACAAGTCTTTTCAAATATAGATCTGAAGAGTGGATACCATCAAATTCGTATCCGGGAGGGGGATGAGTGGAAGACTGCATTTAAGACTAAGGAAGGTCTTTATGAATGGCTGGTTATGCCATTTGGGTTGTTTAATGCTCCTAGCACCTTTATGAGGTTCATGAGCCAAGTTTTAAGGCCATTCATGGGGAAGTTTGTGGTAGTTTATTTTGATGACATACTCATCTACAACAAAGATAATGACGGTCACTTAGGACACTTGAGAGCAATCCTAGAAGTCTTGAGACAAAATCAACTATATGTAAATTTGAAGAAGTGTAATTTTATGACAGATCGATTGGTGTTTTTGGGGTATGTTGTTTCAGCCAAGGGGATTGAGGTGGATCAAGAAAAAGTTCAAGCTATTCAAGAGTGGCCAACACCAAAGACCTTGATTGAAATTCGTAGTTTCCATGGGCTAGCAACTTTTATCGTCAGTTTATAAAGAATTTCAGCACTATTGTGGCACCCATTACTGAATGCTTGAAAGGAGGTGAGTTTACTTGGACTCTCGCAGCTGAGAAAAGCTTCCAAGAGCTAAAGATGAGGATGATGAGGGCTCCGATATTGGTTTTACCTGATTTTAACAAGCTCTTTGAAGTTGAATGTGATGCATCCCATGTTGGGATTGGAGCTGTCCTTAGCCAAGAAAACCATCCAGTTGCTTACTTTAGTGAGAAACTCAATGATGCTAAAAGGAGGTATTCCACTTATGATGTTGAGTTTTATGCCATTGTGCAACCGCTGAAGTTTTGGAGGCATTATCTTATCCAACGGGAGTTTGTGTTGTATTCAGACCATGAAGCATTGAAGCACCTTAACTCCCAACAGAAGATAAATGGAAGACATGCTA